TACTCTATCTCAAATTCATGAAGAAGTTGCAGCACTTTGAAAAACTCAGGTTTTGAATGGAAAAAAAAAACAATGCAAAAAAGTAGTGATTTTTTTGGCAATTTTGAGACCCCCCGTTGCCATGGTAAACAGGAAATTTACGATTGAGCATATTGTTAACAGAGGCTATGGTGTAGTCCCACATTTTGTGCCAAGTTTCATCAGTTATTGAAGCATTTTTCATAGTTTCATAGCAGTTTGAAATTGTTACAGGAGGCTTTTAATAAAAAAAGGGCCCTTTTATTTCGAAAATAATGCCCCAAGGTTAAAGATAAAAAAAACCACTTTTCAAGATTTTGCAGTTCTTTTTTAAAACCTTTTTCTTTTATTTAAGTGCGGTTACAGCCCACTAACTTCAGAAAGGCTTTCAACATTTACACAGGGAAAAACCAAATAAATTGGGATTTAGAAACTTAAAGCAGATTTTGTTTTATACAGCGGTTTTTTCAGGGAAAATTTTTAAACCTTTTCCAATGAAAACAGGGGCCGTATGGTCCCCAAAAAAAACGAATGAATTTACCCCCTTAAAAACAAAAACAATTGGGGGAACAAATTAAAAGGATTTATTGTAAGGTCTATAAAAGGATGAACCTTGGGCATTCTAAAAACAAAATTTTAAAAAACCCAGGCCCCAACAAAACCCTAATGGGCGATTATATAAAATTGAATTAGGAATTTGGGAACTAACAAATAAAATACATGTACAAGTTAAAGAGATTTTCTGCGGCGATAAGTTTTAATAATTTAAAGATATTTCATTGATCTGTTTTCAAAATTGTTTAAAAAAAAAAACGTTTGTATCACGAATTTGAGATTACTCTTGCAAACGTCTTGATGATATGGATTACATCACTATTTTCGAGTTAACATTTAATTCTTTTAATTCTTTAATTGCACTTGAATATACTTTCATAACACCAACCCAAATATGTCCCAATAATGTAAAAAATTTTTAATTTAAATTTTTTTAAAACAATAAAAGGGTTGTTACTTTAAACCGATTACTGCTCCTTCAGTCCCCAAAAAAACAGGTCATGCGCTCCTCCATCCCCTAAAAATTTTAAAAATCGGAAAAATACCAATACCCTTTAGGGGAATTGCCCAAAAAATCAACTTTTTTAATTTTCGAGAAAAACAAACAGGGGCATATGCCCAGAAAACTTTTTAAACAGACCCCTAGCTAGTCAAAACGTGAAACAAAATTTTTAAAAGAAGAATTTTTATATTTTTTTTTATAAAATTGGGGATATAACGTTTGTAAAGGGCAATTTTTTACTGAAACCTAAAAATTTAAAATAAATTTAACCTATTTCCAGCTTTTTTTTTTGTTTTAAAAAAAAAGAAATGTTGGGGTTTAAATAGATAAAAAATAAACTAACCCCCAAATATTAAAAACTTATTATTTGTAAAGAAAAATTTTTCAAATATTTTTCGAAAAATTACAAAAAGGAATTTTAATTTTTTTCTTTTTTTTTCCCTTTTGTAAATATGTAGTATTTTTTAAAAATGAGCAGCTAAATTTTGAAAATTTTTTAATTTTGTTTAAGAAAAGGAAAAGTACTTTTTGTTTTGGGAAGTACGTATTTTTAAAACATTCATATTGAAATTTTAAAAAAAAATGTATATTTGGATACTAAAACGGTCGTTTAATTCAACGAAGTATTTTTGAAATTTTAAAAGATAGAAATTTACTTTTTACTTTTCTCATAACTTTAAACCAAGAATTTTAGACAAAAGCCCGGGGCCTTAATTCCAAATAAAACCACCCCTTTTAACACATTGTTTGTGAGGAATAAAAAACACATTTATGTAGATTTGAAACTGATTTTAAAAGTATTTTGCTCAAACCAAAAAGCGAAAAACATGTTTCCCTCAAATCATAATTTAGAAGCGTATTTGCATAAAAAAATGATATATTATTACATTGTATGTATCTTGAATCTTTTCATTTTTCATGTTATATTCAGTGTGTATGCCGTTTTGTTTTTGGAAGGCTATATCATCTTCATATTCCGTCAGTTTCAAACACAACAACTAATAGATGCGTCCTTATATAGTTCGATGCTATTAAAGATAATGAAAAAAAAACTTCCTGAATGCCGCTTAATTTAAATTTGTGACAGTATACGGAAAATACTACAACGCCTGTTATAATTGTTTCAAGTGGTACGTATATATCCTCGGTCTATTGAAATATAAACAGTCTGTAGCAGTTAGCTCCCATGATCAATACAGTGGCGTAACCATGAGGCCAGTTTTAAAATAGTTTTAAAATGGTTCATTCGAATTAATTTACCACTAAAATGATTGTCTTTTTTAATTTACGGCTATGCAATTGGACCATACGTTATCATGTTTTTATCATGTTTCAGACATACTTATTTTTTATCACCAGTATTCTGATTAAGGTTGCGAGCATTTAAAGTACTTTACAAGTTGATATGTACATTGTATGTTTCTGAATAACTAAGTTTTAATACACTTGCGATGTGCTTGACATAATTAACATCTATTGCAAACAGAAATAATTTGACAATTTAAATAAACAAGCTATTTAAGATAGTTGAATATCGATATAGAGATCAATAGCACTAAATTATGATATCATAGTACATCGTTAACGCAAGAGAAAACAAATCGGGAAAATTATGCAACTCAACACTTTTTATTCTTAAATCTTATCAACTTTTTTCATACCAGATAATGAGTACGCTACATACAATTTTTTACTCTGAATTACTGCTTGATAACCTAATCTTACCATGTCCTATGAAATGAGGTGAACATACACAAGGCTGAATATGTTTTATCATCGGATACATCATTCTTTCTGAACATGTTAATCATAATTCTTGTTCTGTCTCTGCAACAACGAGCAAAATATCCTTCATTTATACATATAAAGTTTATTCTTCCATATACTGTCAATTGGTTAGACTTGAATTTGGTGAGACTTTAGAGCTTAAACATTAATTTTTGAGGTTCGTTTGAAGTGACAGAACCTTAACTGCATTGCTCAGAAAATTGAGCTTCATTTCTGTACTTTTTTCTATCTTTCTTTTGTAAACAAAATTTAAACTGATTAACAACTTTTATGAAAAAAGATGTTCTCATTTAAACATCTTAAACGATTCGTAATATCGTCAGAGTAAGATTTCATTTATCTCTATGCCCATTTTCTTGTCAGTCTTGCTATGAACTCAAAACGCATTTTTAGTTTACAGTATTTTAATTTAACTTCAATTTAAAACTGTTTTGTCAGCTGCTAGCGTGTCACTTAAGTTTTAAATGCCTGTGTAAATCTCAAAAGCTCAAGCATTTTGCTCGTTGGGAATGATGCGGGACTTACTGTCCATATTTTTGTCAAATCCTGAATGTAGACGCAACGTTTAAAAAAAAGTCAAAATGTGTATCCACATCATTGTTACTCTCTTCGAAATTCGAAGTTTCTGTCGGAAACTTTCATTATGAGAAACCTGCAGGCCTATCTGACAGTAAAGTGCCAGGTTTGATTTTAATTTCATAATAATCTCTTCAACCCTCTTTCTTTTTCCTAACATTTTAACTCAAACAAATGGCATTCTTTCGCCCTTCTTTAAGCCCCTTCTGCTACCCGTTCCTTTCTTCCTTTCCTTGCTGGAACATTTCACTTTACTTTCTGCATTTACTCAGCACTTCAATAATTTGTAGCTTCAAAAAGCGTAAGTTTTCCTGTAAAACAAGCAATGAAAGCAAACACAAACTATATTACTTTACTAAGGACGAACTTATGTTATACATCGAAGGTACCATATACGTATACTTTCAACGTAGTGCATATAAGTTTGTGTTTGATTTAAGTATAAAACTATAAGATGAATAATAAATATATAAATGGATAGAGGTATACTTAGCGTTGACAACATCCACGCGAAATCAGAAGAAAAGAGACCAAAGCGTCTTCGAGTTACTAGTGGAACAGGGTTTAAGTGATCAAGGGCCCAATTACCTTGATCTTTGTCCCACTTCCACAAAACTAATAAAAGTCATCCACTAGTGATGACCAATCTACACAATCGGAACATCTCGGCTATTTTTTATAATAACCTCGGACTTCATACGAATTGAAAGTAGTTCTTAAAAGAAGGCTAATCTGATAATATATAACAAATGTATATACTTGACATCCTAATGTAAATAAAGTCTATTTCGGTAAAAAAAGAAATTGGTGATATCATCTTGAATGCTTATGATAATTATTGTTGACATCTAAATTATATGAAAATTGACATGTGAGAACAAAAAAGAATTTCATCTGCATTAGATAAAAATCAAATATATTATAAGACATTCGTGATTATAATTGTTCTTTTATTATTATTTATGAATGACACATTTCTCACACACAAACAAAACCTTGGTTTGAAATGTCAGTGTACTATTGTGAATGTTTAATGTTAACTATCTAAAAACATTTATCTCTATGTCACTTGTATTATTAAATGTTTATACGGAAAGAAAAAACTAATGACGCTCGCGCATAAAATTTCTTAATTTATAATTATATGATATTTAACTGAATAATATAATTTTCATTTCCTTCTAATAATCAAGTAAGTCACTTGCAAGGACAATAAAACACTATAAATATCATTCAACAAGGAAACTACTGTTCAAATAGAACTTTTCAGTAAAATGTAAATGTTACGTTTACGACAAGTTAATTGCAAATGTCAACCAAAAATTATAATTGTTAGAAATAAACATAAACATGAAGCACAAAAGTATGGTTGTAATTAAGAAAAAAAAAAGAAAACTTAATGTGCAAAATCATATCACATATGAAAAAAGTAATGCATGCATTGTTCATCAAGGTTATTTGCTCTATTATATATATTAACATTAAAAGTGAAATGTTGTCACCACTTGTTTAAAACGAAACGTTGCGTAGTTTTGTGGATTATTGTGAAGGGACACGCTGCGAGCAAGTAAATGTAAGTTTCCTTACAACATACTTATAATATTTATATTTCTCTATTTATTTTAGTTTCATGCATGTACAATGACTACGAAACTTGTCGTTTTGATGCAAAAAAATAAACCATTCTGTTCTACGGCCTTCATGGTCAATTCTTGCGCATCAAAACTCCAAACCGTACTTAATACCTTTCATTTAGATCATAGTTTTTTTTTCTTATTCGGACTTTTAGTGGTATCGGATTTCCAGAAGGAAAATGCCTTTTAAATTTGCTAATCGCACTCTCCAGAACTTGAATCTCCCCTCCAAAAGCGGGCGTTTCTTTTTTTCGGACATTGATACATTTGTAATACACTTTTAGAGCTTATGCAATCATACAACCAACACATTTATAAATCGATAAAATAACATATAAGTATTTAGTAAGTGCCCTTCTTAAACACGTTCAAATTACTTTGAATCTGAAGGATTTGTTTGAATTAAATTCTACTGCCGTTGAATTCATTTGTGTTACAAAAATATTAAATAAAAGTTGTCCATTTAACGTAATACTCATTTTCACTGTATATGGACCATTTGACAGTTGTTTCCATAAACGAATTTTAAATGTCTCGGCTAACAGGGTACAAAATTTAGATTTTAAGAACTTTTCTCTGATAAATGTTGTGTTCTTTCCTGCTTAGAAATTAAAGATTATATTTCTAATTCAGTTATTTCAAAATACCAAAATGATGACAATCATCAGCAAAAAAGGGTCTGGTCAGGTTAAACGTTTCTGATCGATTGTTTTTGTTTAAATTTATGACTTTCTGATAATCAAATTTGATTTAATTGTTAACAGTCTTGAAATACGTCTTTATTATATAACATTGACACATTCTTTCAGATGTCAAAACTGTTGTTTGCTGTTTCATTCCTCTTGTCTTTGTCAATGACAACTGTTTCGGCATGCACCTGCGAACCGAGAACCTGGATAGAACAATTTTGCAACGACCCATTAGGTTAGTTGAAATATTTTTATTATGTACACACAAAGCTAATCGGAATTTTCATTTTCAGTCGTGTGATTGATTTTCTTTTTGTTTCAAACAGATTCAATCTTTGAAGTCATATGATGAATAGAACATGTAACTGTTTACAACATCATATTAAAAATATATATTTTTGAATGCAAATAGGGGTTTGAGTATTTTTTTAAAAAACAAACGATTAAGCTTATGTTTGCTCCACTCCCCTCCCACTTCCCTTTGAAGCATGTTTGAATATCCGTAGATCTGTGGGTTTATAGACCAGACCTAGACGGTACTACAACGTTAAAGCAGGCGTAATGTTGTCATATAATAAAATGTCAATATGCATGGCATTAGATTTTGTTTGTACAGCTCAATAGGGACAACATTGATCTAATAATCCAAGGATCTCTGTTAGGGCCTAGGGCGAGGCATAATTTATCTGTGAAAATTGATCTCCGACATGGTGTCTAATGGTCATTTGTCTCTCATTGCTGATTGAAAATGCATGTATAAGTCGTCGGTCGCTTGCGGAGAAATAAGTAAATACTGGTAAGTTATCGAGGGAAGCTTGTTTGGTGGATCAACTGTCGAGATATGACTAAACTTGTGTTACAATCGACGTTAAAGGGATACTCAGGCAAATTATTGACAAAAATATCGAAATTCTCTTATGTACTCAAATCACGCTTAAATGACATTAGTGAAAGTCCCAGCATAAATTTCTGTATAATCTTTTTTATATTTTAGGTTTGAAGCATAAATATATCTATTATGTTGAACGAAATTTAGCCGCCGACAGAATCACCGAGTAGTTTTAAAACTAGTCGTGTGACTTGAACAAACCCTGGAAGTTACAATAACAGATATTGTGGATATTGTATGATTGAAACAAACCTAAATCATTCATCTGAGGTGCTTTTTAATGTTTCCAGAGTTCACTGTGACAACTAATGTCAAATCTTAACGCTCTAACCTGACCCGCGTGGGTCAAGTAAGGAAACCACCATTTTATTCTTCATAAGGAGAAAAGTTCCTGTGACTGCCTGGTGTATTAATGTTAAGGACATTGACAGATTAATGAAAGAAAAATTCAAAAGGAAGAGATGAAAATTTTGCCTGTGTCTCCCTTTAAGACCAGAAGAAACAAACGGGGGCATAAATGTTAAATAAGTATCTCTTGTCATTTTTTTACATTTTTATTCTTCAATCCCATTGACTTTATTTTATAAAATAGAATAAAACACAAAGTGTACCATTATCATTATATTGCTATTATGAAAGTTTAATATCTTTTCAGCTGGGATATTTTACATTAAAGACGATGGTATTGTCACTGGGAACTGGAGAGTGTACGACGTCGACTTTGTAGTTCAATTCAGACCTTTTGTAAGTTTTATGACATCTGAAAAGTACTCATCATACTGAAGCTCACCATTCAAGAATATAATCATTTACTGAAACAAATTTTGTCTCTTCTTATACAAGACAAGATAGGATTGTTCTCTTTTGAAAACGACGTCATTATGCTTTTGTTTCTAAAATTTGATAAGAATCATAATAAATAATGAAAAAGAATCGTTTTAAACCTAACCGAGCCTGCAATATTTTCGATTTTGCCAAGTTGAGCATTCTCAAAATCTTTATTTACCTGTTAAAGTCAACCTATAATAAAAAACCGGGGATTCAGTCTGGAAAATGCATTTTGTAAATAAAATTATATTTTAGCAAACCTGTTGCAATAGATGCGATTTAATATGGGGAAAATGTTAAAAAAAACACACATTTAGTGTTCTAGATACTCGGTATACTGGTAATTAGAACAGCGCAGTGCTTTAATAAAAATGCCGTAAATATTTTGACAAATAGCTCAGGTATTACAAGTAATCATTTCTGAACTTGTTATCCAAATTGAAAATGTCCTGGTAGTTCACACATTCCAAGTTATGTATGTATAAAAGATAATTTTATTATCGCATAGGATATCCCAAAGAACCCAGACTTCAGTAAATTATATACACCAACAGAAAGTGCTGCGTGTGGAGTTTTGCTAAAGAAGAATAAGTATTATGTTATTACAGGTAAATAAAAAATTAATTAAATTATTCCTTGTATTGGAATACAAATGACAATGTACCAATTGTATTTTCGGTATATATTACTATACCATAACTGTCATAAAATCATTTTTGTATCTTTTTTTTTTTAATTTGATTTGATCCATAAAATATGTAATTCATTTCGCAATACAAAAACATTCGTTTTATTATTACTTTAGGATCCTTCAGCATGGATAGCGGAAAATGCCCTCTGATGACGACAAACTTATGCACTTTACAGAAGCAAATTGCGCATCCAGGTGCGTTCACACCTCCCGACTGTTCCTCAATTTACCAAATCGCTTAAATTCTTTCAAATGATTGTTAACAAAAGAGAAATGATATTGATATAAATTTGTGACTTTGTTATTTAGTATTCAAATGTTGTCTAACATTTGGAATAAGGCTAAGATGATACAAGTAAAAAAATTTAGAAACAAGTATTTTTTTTTGGACCAGATAAGATAATTGCAGGAAATGATGAATTATAATAACAATCAATTCAATAATCTAATGCAAGTTAGAATAATACATTTTATCTTTGCTTAAACGAAAGTGAAAAAGTTGGTAGGCTACCTTCATTTGAATTATATTCCTGAAAAATATAAGTAAGTAAACTCGGTGTTGGTCATACTCTTTTACAAGTACATCAACGAATTCTACATTAAAACGAGTCTTTTTTACCCTTCGCCCGCCCTAAAAATATAACAACAACAACTACAAAATTAACTCATGTACCGTGCTTAATTTACAGACATCTTATCAAGTGTTCTGTGAACCACATTTCGCGCTATCAGACAAACATATAAAAGTAATTATTCCCCATCGAATCCCTTTTCTTTAAAGACAACGTGTACCTTCATCTTATCACCAACATACAATAATACAATAGTAAGTATTCCTTATTTTTAATTCTATACCGCATATACAATAAAATCATGTATGGGTAATTGATAATTGATTATTTATTTGAAGGTTGAATCGTCTGGAATTTCCTTGTATTTATATATCACATTCAGAAATTTGAGTAATTTGCTCGAATTTAAATTCATTTGATTTATTTAATGGTCGAATTTTTAATTTTTTTGATTTATTTTAATTAATCGTAAAAATTTTTTAGGTAAAAAATCCTTGCTGTGTATTTTCAAAAACTCAAAATTTTCCAAAAAACCTTTTGGTATTGGATAAATTTCACATTAAATTTTAAAAAATAATAGTTTAGAAAATTTCGCGCCCATAAAACAGTGTCTTCAGTTTTTCATTTTTCTGTGAAAAATTCCCTCTGTATAGGTAAATTAACCAGTAGGGATTTATTAGTTAATTTTTATTTTCCAAAAAATTTTTTTTGAACAAAGATGGAGAAAAAAAATTTTTTGGATAAAGGGACGGGGTTCTTTTTTTAAAAATGAAATTTTTAATAATTTGTCACTTCGCAACAAATGTAACAGAACGCATAAACGGATACACAGTGATCACAATTCACGTCCTAGTTATTTACTTACGTTTATTCCGGATTATATTGAAAATTTTAAAGAAAGGAAAAGAAGCATTTCCGCATTATTTACCAATGTTCATATAGAATTACATTGAAAATTCAAGTAAAGTAAACAGGCATTTCAGAGTTCAATAGTTTTATTGTATAATCAGTTCATTAAAAACAAACGCGTTTCTTTAGCTTTCGACGTCTAGTCTTTTTCAGAAAAAATTGACTTTTATAAAATGACAAATGACGCAACGTCCGTTTAACTATACGCTAAACAGAACGTGACATTAACACGGGAATAAAACTTGGTCAAATAAATACAGAATCTTTCATGAACATAAATACAGCAATATACAATAAATCACACATATAATATGGATCTGCACAATGTGATACAAAAATTCTCATAATCAATAATAATAAAAAAAAACTTTGATATGAGACAAAACATACTACATGTATTTGTATACCGGCGCAATAATGACAAAGTTATATATTGTACAAAACGTTTGCATTCATACCATTAGGAGATAATGTCTTAAGCTTATGAATCCAGTATGATTCTTTTAACAAGCGTTCCATATCATCGGAGACAATTTCTATAGGCATAAATTTAAAATCCTTAATACAATGATTGTTTTTATTAAAGTGTGTAGCGACATTGGTCAAAAATAAAGGATCGGAAAAATTGTTGATATCAAACCTATGACTATTCATGCGTTTAGACACTTGTTGCTTCGTTTGACCAACATATTGCTCTTTACATTCATCAAAAGTGACAATATATATAGAATATTTCGCAGAACAATCAGTATTATTATGTACATGATTATTCTTACCAGGAATATTAGTACTACTTATATTGCTTTCAATAATGGTGCTGCAATGTGTACATCTACTTCCATTACATTTGTATGAACATTTCGCATTTTTGTTATTAAACCTAACATTAGAATTAACGAGAATGTCTTTTAGATTTTTAGGCCTTTAAATGCAACCAAAGGTTTTCTTTCATGAAGCTTTTGCACAGAACATTTGCTTGAAAGTTTAAGTCAATCCCAATACTTTTTAATGATATTACTAATATTAGGTATAGTTGGGTTATACACAACAACAAAGGGAATAACACTGCCATCACTTGTTTTGTTGTTAGTACACTGGGATTCATCCTGTGTTAGACATGAAACCTTACTTAGTGCATTATCAATAACATTGATAGGATAATTTCTGTCTTTGAAGAAGTATGTACGTAAATTCTGTAAAGAATCGTTGAAAACATTATCTTCAGAAATGATACGGCGATGACGTTTTCCTTGACTGTACGGAATACCATTTTTACAAGACACTGGGTGACAGGAAGAGTATTCTAAATACTGATGAGTATCTGTCTCTTTAACATGTATATCAGCGTGTATAATATTGTTTTTGTCTAATGAAAAGTTTACATCTAAAAATGATACGAGATATTTAGAAACGTTCGCTGTAAATTTTATAGATGGAAGAAAGTTATTCAAACTATCATTGAAAGCATTTAAATCATCAAGGGAATAACTCCATATACAAAATATATCGTCAAGAAAACGGAACCATAAACGGGGTTTTAAAGAACGCTGGCTTAAAAAGTCATGTTCAAATTTACCCATAAAAAAGCGAGGCGTAAGAGGGTGCCATAGAACTTCCCATTGCTGTTCCCATTTTTTGTATATAATGATCAACGTTGAACTGAAAATTATTATTTTTTAGGACTAAGGAAAGCAATTTACATATTTCATTACATGAAAGTTTTTTGGGGGGATTTCTCTCTAAAAAAATGTCTGCAAGATTCTTCTCCGTCTGTATGGGGAATGTTCGTATATAGAGATGTAACATCTAACGTAACAAGGTAATGTTCTCCCGACCCAAGAGAAGTGTTTTTAGCTCACCTGAGCACGAAGTGCTCAAAGGTGAGCTTTTGTCATCACTCTGCGTCCGTCGTGCGTCGTGCGTCTTTAAAAAAATGGCGTCAAACTTTTCAAACAACATCTCCTCCTAAACTACATGGCCAATTGCAACCAAACTTTACAGAAATGATCCTTAGGTGGACCCCTTTCAAAGTTGTTCAAAAATTTAAATTCCATTAAAAACTCTGGTTGCCATGGCAACCAATAAGAAAAACTTAAAAAATCTTCTTCTAAAAAACCGTAAGAGCTAGAGCTTAGATATTTGGCATGAAACATCTTCTAAAGAGTGCCTACCAAGTTTGTTCAAATAAAAGCCCTGGGGTCAAAATTGGCTCCGCCCCGGGGGTCATTGATTTTCCTTATATGTGTATAGCAAAAACTTAAAAAAATCTTCTTAAAAAAAAACCCAAATAGCTGGAGTTTAGCTATTAAGCATGAAACATCTTCTAGTGAGTGTCTACAAAGTTTGTTCAAATCAAAGCCCTGGGGTCAAAATTGGCCCCGCCCCGGGGGTCATTGATTTTCCTTATATGACTGTGTATAGCAAAAACTTAAAAATCTTCTTTGAAAAAACCCAGATAGCTAGTGTTTAGATATAAAGCATGAAACATCTTCTAGTGAGTGTCTACCAAGTTTGTTCAAATAAAAGCCCTAGGGTCAAAATTGGCCCCGCCCCAGGGTGTCTTTGATTTTCCCTATATGCATATAGTTAAAACTTAAAAAATCTTCTTTTAAAGAACCCAAAGAGCTAGAGCTAAGATATTTAGCATGAAACATCTTCTAATGACTGTCTACAAAGTTTGTTCAAATAAAAGCCCTAGGGTCAAAATTGGCCCCGCCCCCGGGGGTCATTGATGTGCATATTGTAAAAACTTTAAAAAATCTTCTTTTAAAGAACTCAAAGAGCTAGAGCTAAGATATTTAGCATGAAACATGTTCTCATGGGTGTCTACCAAGTTTGTTCAAATAAAAAAGCCCTGGGGTCAAAATTGGCCCCGCCCCGGGGGTCATTCATTAGCTTGACTTTTTTTTTTTAGATATATACATATTATATATATACACATATATATTTAATATTTATATATAAATATATTTAATATTTATATATAAATATATATATATATATATATATATTATATATATATATATATATATATATATATATATATATATATATATATATATGTATGTATTGTATGTATATGTATATATATGTATATATATATATATATATATATATATATATATATATATATATATATATATATATATATATAAAGGGAGATAATTAAATTCAATACAGTTATACTTTCCCTGCGTGGGATCACTTAAGATACAAGTGTGCAGATAAATTGATAGAAATGAGAGAATATATACACACATACCACCACATCGATATGCCAGTCCAATTACGGCACAGCGCCTAGCAGAACAGTCATGAAAGCATAGCCACTGCTCATCCACCATCACAAAAATGATGGTTTCAGAACAGCTTTATACAGTCACAAACTGCACTACACATTGAAACAAGCTCAACATTCACATATATAGAGTTTGTTCTCTGTTAACATATCTCACAAATCAACGATGACATTTTATTGTCTTCTTCACTGATTGGACCAGAGAAACTATATATCTATTTCCGAAAGTCAACTGGATCCCGTAAGATCAAGTAGATCCGTAGGATACAATGAATATATATGTGAATGTTGAGCTTGTTTCAATGTGTAGTGCAGTTTGTGACTGTATATAAAGCTGTTCTGAAACCATCATTTTTGTGATGGTGGATGAGCAGTGGCTATGCTTTCATGACTGTTCTGCTAGGCGCTGTGCCGTAATTGGACTGGCATATCGATGTGGTGGTATGTGTGTATATATTCTCTCATTTCTATATATATATATATATATATATATATAT